ACTTCACGATTGTTCTGTGGCACGACTGCCACAGAGGTGCGGACACAACTATCGGTTCCCTTTGACTACTATTCAAGAAGGACGAGCAGTGGCAGTGCGCGTCCATATATGGGTCAAACATTTTACCACCTCCATCTCGGCGGGGCGCGTTTTAACTGGCCGAAAATCGCGTCATATTCTAGAACCCCCCCCCTTTCAGTGCGTGAGGAATGGACAACCGATCAAAATGTGAGAGCACCCGATTCTTTTTCCGAGCAACCATCCCCCCCCCCGGCTTGAAGGGTCCCCTTCAAAACTAACTAACGCTAAGCCTAAACCTAATTTAAACTACTAATCTAACCTAAAAGACAATTCGAAACTATTGATAGGGCAAAGGGCATAGATGGACATCAAGACGCATATATGACCCAGTCGTGGTTCTAACGCGAGCTACTCTAGTTACCCCGTCAGATCCGGGAAAAACCTATTCGACAATCCCTAATGGCCAATGAAGAGGCGGCGTATTTTCTCTGTGAACACAACCACCATTCCGAACGTTAAAGGTTTAGTTGTTGTATTCCATTTCTGCCGAGACTGCAACGTATGCAAATATTTCGTCTTCCATCGTTTTCAAAATGACTGCACCAGCCGTCTAATAGGTTATGGAGTGAAGGAATATTAAGTTTGTCCGCGTCTATGTCTATGGTGGGCAGATGTTTTAAATGCGTTAGATTCAAAAAATGCGCTGGAGTTAGAACCAGTGGCTCCGAGAGGTCACTTGACAATGTACGACAAAGGGCGCGGCTATTCATGACGCACTCGACTTGCGCAAGTACAGTGCTTAATTCTTCGAAAGACAAAATTTGATCTCCAATTACTCGGTAAAAATGGTTCTTTAGACTCTCAATATTAGTCTCCCAATTCCCCCCACAATGACTCGCGGCGGGGACAACGACCACTCGATGCGGTTCTTGGCTAAGATGTGAGCGAACTCCGTGTTATAATATTTAGAGGTTAGAAATTCGTGTAATTTCGATAAAATACGTTTTGCGCTGACGTAGTTCGTACCACTATCCGAGTACATTTTACACACAGGGCCACGACGAGAAAGGAACCTTTTAAATGCACCTATGAAGCTTGCTGTGCTCAGCTCATCACCGACAAGTCCTTTAATAATAATAATCCTTTATTGCAGACACAAAGATCCATATTTACAAGAATATATATATATATATATATATATATTATATCAAGATTAGACATGTTGCAATATTTCCAAAAGTCTAAAAGTCAAAAATCTATCGTCACCCAGCAACTTTCACCCAACATCTGTACATTGCAGTCTGTATCTGCCTATCTGCCAAACTACGCACAATAGAGTTGTTACACAAGTCAACTCTGGACATAAATGATGCTATCCTCTTTCGATGGATAGCATTAAAAGAGTCAACCCGGGTTTTCACGTACATTTCAGAGGCGCTACAATAGCGATTAAATCCCACTAGAAGTCTAAAAATATTATTATAAGTCACCCGTATACTATCATGTGTTTTCTTGGTATAGTCTACCCAGAGTTGACACGTGTAAAATGATTGGCAGAAAGATCTAAACAGTGTAATTTTCACGTCCGGCGACGCCTTGCAGAATTTTCGCGCAATCATATTGCCTACTACACACAGAGATCTACGTTGACGTTCCACATCCGTGTCATCTTTTAAGTCTGAAGTAACAATCGAGGGCGGCACTGAAAATTTCGCGAATCAAGGAAGTGACACAACATTACTATTTAAAAATGTATTTATTGCTTTTCAAAGTATTCTCCGCGAAATTTGACACATTTTTCCATACGATGGAACCAATCATTGAAGCAACCATTCCATTCGGAAGTTGGGGTCTCCAAAATGGCCGTTTTGTAGGCGCTCCGCAGCTTCTTCAGGTGATGAAAATCTCTCGCAATTTATTCTTTATTTTAGGGAAAGTATAGAAACCATTAGGGCTTAGGTCGGGGCTGTACGGCGGATGGTCTAATAAATAATTCTATGTTTTCTTGCTCTAAACACTCTTTTGTTCTGTGTGCGGTGTGAGAACTCGCATTGTCGTGATGTAGGATGATGCGGCGGTTGCAGTTCTCTTTACGGAGTTCAGAAATGACCTGTGGCAAACAAATACTAGCATATAATTCTGCATTAACCGTTCTTTGTCCCTCAAGAGGAATAGTCGTAACATGGCCGGTTTTGGAGACAAACGTGGCCCCCATTTTTTTTTGCAACACTCCGTGAACAAACAATTTTTGTTGGCTTTAACTCATTTTCGAACACCCAAACTCGTGACTGGTTTTTTTGTTTCGGGTTCGTACGCATATATGCAGGATTCGTCACCTGATACGATGTTGTATACAGCATTTGAGGATCCTGCGTGGAATCTTCCGAGAGTTTTCTTACGCGCCAAGTAACGCGAGCCGCTTTTTGCTCTTCACAGAGTGAATGCGGTATCCATCGGGAAAACAACTTTTTTACACCTAATTGTTCATGCAAGATTATTTGGATTTGACTCATGCCAATTGTCTAAAGTTGCCTGAATCTCGCGGTATGTCACATGTCTATCTTCCTCAATCAGCTTACGCACAGCATCAACGTTTTCTTGAGTGACTGCAGTTTTTGGACGACCTTGACGGGGATCATCACTGAGCTTGACACGTTGAAATCCAGCAAACCAGCGATAAATTATGGTTTTGGATGGGGCTTCATCACCAAATGCAGAAATCATCCGGTTAACACACTGTTTTGTGTTAAACCTTTTCGAAAGTCTTAATAAATCATCGCTCTTGAATTTTCTCGAGTCAATTCCATTTTCTCAACGACTAAACAAGTTTGACAAAACCCTGTGACAAGACCGAGAATCTTTTTTTTAAATAAATAAATGGTATTAGATTTTAAAAACCAAGGAGTTTTCAATTAAAAGATTTTAATATGACAGGAACAGTGGAAATATTCCATTCCCGATACTTTTAGTGCAACCTAGGTATGGCCAAGATACTTGAACTTGTCTACTATCTTAATAAATTTTCCATTAAGACGAAACTCGGGCACGCTCTGAGGTAACTTCCCTGATCTGAAAATTCATTATTTCTGTCATTTTGGATTTGTAAGTCAAATTATGTTCTTCCGCGTATCTTTCACAGATTTCAATTAATTTTTTCAAGCCTTTAATCGAGGGACTGAGCAGCACCATATCGTCAGCATAGCTCAGGCTGTTAACATATCTGCCGTCCAGCCCTACCATGGATCTGCTCAGCTCTACGATTAAATCATTCATATAAGTATTGAAAGATCAGGTGAGGTAACACCCCCCCCCCGTCTCACGCCACAAGAAAGCTTATAGCAATCCGATATTTCACCACCCCACCTAACGTTGTTGGTCTGATTACCGTACCAGAACGCTAGGAGATCAAAAACCTCAGCCGGGACACCTTTGCTAGTGTCACGGAACTTTTTCCACAGTATTTATGACTAATTGTATCAAAGGCACGACTTAAATCAAGAAAACAAGCGTATACAGTAGTATTCCCCTGTTTACTTATAACTTGCTTTAGAGAAAATATAGCCATATCTGTTGATACATTCGGACGAAAACCAAACTGTCCATCATCGTAATTTATGGAATTCAAGTATAACTGTAATACTCGTTCAAATACCTTGGCCAATATAGTGACCAAAAAATAGACCTATAGTTTGCAGCGCTTGAGATATCTCCCGTTTTATTTTTCATAACAGGAACAACCACCGCACGAAAAGTTCCTCAGGTAAATAACAATACTCCTACAGAGATTGAAAAAATGCGCTAACACCTCACAGATATGCTGGCCCGCATTCAGTCGCAGACTTACCCCGCTTCATGTTAGTCAAAAGTGACTCTAACTCTTTCGGCGTAATTGTTACATGGTGAGTTTCAGATCCCTGACATGTCCTAGCCTTATAATTATAATTACATTTATTTTGTACAAGATTAAACTGATTTCTAAATAAATTTGCTATATTTTTTTTTACTTTTTTCTCCATCTACACTTACGGCAAATATTTTTTATGTTCTAACTTTTTTATTTCTCTCCAAAATTCACTAAAGTTACCAGCATTACGATGTCGGGCCAACACTTCCATTTTTATTTTGTCCTGATTATTTTGAACGTACTTAAGCGCGGCCTTAAACTCTCTTCGCGAGGCAGCCATATTTTCGTAAAAATAGCCCGAAGATGGCCTACCATATTCATTCCACATTAAAAAACTTTCTCTGGCCTTGACATGGGTATGCCTGACGTGAAAATTCCACCCCACAATCCTTTGCCCTTTTCTTATATCATTTATATAAAAGCTACGCTCAGCTGCTACTTGCAATACACTTACAATGTCACAATATAAATCGTCAATATATTTACAATGACACGATTTTTCACACGAATGTTTTACATACATACATTGTTTTACATACATACATGCTATGTTTAAGCACAGCGCAAGTAGTCAGATATACAAAAATATAAACATAAGCCTTCGTGGATCTTATACCACGCCTGCGAGTGAGTGTGACCCTTAACGGACCAGCAAACTAACCCGGTGTGCATAATAGGCTTTGCAGATTGTGTTACACGACAAGACCTAAGGTCCGCCATTTCCAGAAATGACGGCTTAGAGGTCAGTTTCAGTCTGCTGATGAGGATCCTAGCCTTTGCGATACGTTCTTCAATTCTTATTCTGCAGGCTGGGATAGCGCTATTTTGTCCAGTAGCGCGTCCAGACGTGTAAAGTTTGGCGCCTATAATGCGGCAGACTGACAGTGCGGCACCAAAAAGAATCGAGTCCGTCTCGCAATGGTCCCGGCTGGCTTCCAAGTAGGTCACCAGCATTGGCCCTCACAACAGTCCGATTCCGCTTGCTTAAGGTTATGCGGGAAAGTCGCGGTCGATTTTCGAGAGGCATACTGCGCGTTTCCACAATCGCCTCTTCCAATGTACTCCTCATTTGCTCTCATTCCAGTTTCTGGGAGACTGTTCCATCATCGTTTGAATCAATTACAACTGGGGCATTCACGGCGGCATCCACGTTTGTGTGGTGCTCTGCAAATTGTGGCGCCGCATCTTCAGCTGTAGCATTTTCATCCGATGAGGGAACAGCCTCACGTCGTAGACGTTTGTGTTCGGCGACATCATATATTTTTGAGCGCAAGATATACCGAACTAGGTCTGCTAGGTTTTGCCCGGTGACGGTTATAGATGGCTCAAGGTCAGCTAAAAGTCGATGCATTGTTTCCCGATAGACAAAACCTCCAATTTATCTCCTTTTCGCCCTAAAATACGCCCGCAATGTGTTGCTATTCATATGCATTGTCCAACGCATCCGGCGTGCTCCACCAGTGGCAAGTGCCGATTGCTGTGCCCGTGAAGACACTGCCGACATCAAGTCAGCTGGTGGGGATGATGGATGCGAGAGGCTTCTGGGTGGTCGTACAGCATATCGCGCTCGGCTGACGGTTCGCATGCTGTCGCGTCCAGCGACAGTTCCAGACGCGCCCTGGCGACCTCCAAGCGGCGGCCCTTTCGTCTTGATCAATGCGTACTTAACGGGAGACGCCCATGCCCGGCGCCGTTTCATGGTGAGGTCATCTGCACAAGCGGGTTTTTGCACCTTCAATTTTTGTCGAGGCACGGCACTAACACCTCTTGGCAGGGTGCTGAGTGACTGCGCTGACGTAGCAGTTTTGTGACATAACCGTTACGTCAGCGGGCGATGGGGTCGTCACTTCCCTACGCCTTTTTATTATTTACTTTTTATTATGTAGTTTTATTAATGTTATTATGGGGTATTAGTAGTGTATTCGCATCTAGTTTCTCGAGTTGAATAAATATATAAAAGTAAATAATAAATATACCTAAATAAAGGGTTTTACAACAAAATAATAACAGGTTGTTTTTTAAAACAAAATAAAACAAAGAGTTTAGATGAAGATGATTCAAATTTTTATTGTATTATGAAGAGAAAAGTTTGGCAATTATGAATGAAAAATGATATCTGGCAAATGTCCACCACGACCACGCTGACAGATGTCGATTCTTTCATCGAAGTTTTTAATCACTTTTTGGCAAAATGGCGGGTCTATTTCGTTAATCACGTCACAGATTTTGAGTTTTAAGGCCGCGATCGATTCGATTGGCTCCGTATAGACTCTGTCCTTAACATAGCCCCACACAAAATAATCCAGTGGCGTTACATCACACGATCTGGCTGGCCATATAACAGCTGAATTTCGTAAAATTATGCGATCGGGAAATTTAGTTTGCAATAAATTGATCGTTCCGTTGGCTGTGTGACATGTGGCACCGTCCTGTTGTAACCACATGTTTGTGATAACGATGTCATCAATAATAGGCCAAAATTGAGATGTTAACATCTCGCGATAGCGTGATCCATTGACCGTTACCGCATTTCCAGCCTCATATTCGAAAAAAACGGCCCAATCACGCTTCCAGACCATATAGCGCACCATACAGTGACACATTGAGCATGCAAAGGCTTCTCAATAATCGCTTTAGGATTTTCAGAAGCCCAAATGCGGCAATTTTGCTTGTTGACGTACCCTGACAAGTGAAAATGGGCTTCGTCTGAAAAAATTATTTTTTCAGAAAAACCAGCGGGCTGTTCCTGAATGAATTGAGCGAATCTACGGCGATGTGAATGGTCGGTCAGCTTCAATTCCTGCACCAGTTGAACCTTGTAAGGCTTCAAAGCCAAATCCTTACGCAAAATTCGCCATGTGGTGGTTTTGGATAACCCCAATTGTTGAGAACGTCGAGGAATTGACAAATTTGGATCTTCTTCAACGCTGTGGCTCACGGCTGCAATGTTTTCGGTTGATCGATCCGTTCGAACACGCGTTGGTGTTGGCACATTTTGTACCGAGCCTGTCGATTCAAAATTAGCGACCAAATTCTTAATAGCGGTCTCAGAAGGACGATTATGTTGTCCGAAAATATCACGAATTTTACGAAACGTAACTTTAACAGAACCACCATTTCCATAGTGGATTTTAATTATTTTAATTCAATTTTCGAGCGAAATTGATTTCATTGTAGCATTGCCAAAGCATCTACTACGAATAGGTCAAAAAACTAAATGTCAAAACTGTCATGTTGTTGGTGTTGCCCCAATTGAAAAACAAAGTTCTTGTTGAAAAACCCATTATATATTTCATATACCAGCACAAATAAATAAATAATACATAAATAAATAAAAGCCCAACAAGATGGAGGCTCTCGGCAGGGGAGACCAAACGGCCGAGGATTAGGGGGAAAGGGAGAGAATCGAGGAGCACCGCCTTCGGCATTGGAGCCTGGAGCAGTCCGTCACGGAGTTTCAGCCGCCTTAGATGACCCGAGAGGCTGACTGGGATTAGCCCGTCTGCAGAAATGACTACAGGAATAATTTCAGTCGGCAGACCGCCCCACATGTCGATCACCTCGTGAGCCAGGTCCAGATATTTTGTTCGTTTATCTGTTTCGGCTTTCACGAGGTTATCGTCATACGGAATGGTAATGTCGACAAAAATATTCTTGACTGTGCACGGTCCATCAGCACAATATCAGGCTTATTCGCAAAAATAGTCCTGTCCGTGATGATAGCCCGGTCCCATTAGAGCCTGGCGTGATTATTTTCGAGCACGGCTTCCGGCAAGTACTTGTATTACGGCAGTTTCCGATCCTCGAGAGCGTATTTTAGAGCGAGCTCCTGGTGAAAAATTGAAGCTGGCTACTAGGTTGTGCCTGTGCAAGTACTCAGAGTTAGAAATCGCCGAACAACCGGAGATAACATGCCTTAGTGACTCACCGGGATGGCGACAAGCTCGACAGATGTGCCATTCTTTAGGATGTATCTCCGATAGTTGTTGGTCTTAATAACTTGATTCCTGAATTGCACAGACAAAACCCTCGGTTTCCCCGAAGAGGTCACCAAAGCGTAGCCAGTGGAGGGAGGCTACTGTGTCTATGAAAGGCTCATGTAGAGCCTTGTAGAACCTCCCGTGGAGCTCCTTCTCCTTCCATACGGTCACCCGGTCGGAAATGCTCTGCACTGCTGGGTCTTGCCATTGCTCGTTGGCTAAGGATAGAGGGGTAAGGGGTCCTTTATCACAAAAAATGACGTCCTTATAGAATGGATCATCAGATCACGCCAGGAAGTAATTACGGAGGCTGCACACTTCACGATTATGGATGGTAAGCACGCTCAAAAAGCCACGCCCACCATGCTTTCGCGGCAAGTACAGCCTCATTACCGACGATCTCGGATGATGCATCCTATGGGACGACATAGTAGTGGGGACTTTTCAATCCAGGGCGTTAAGTTTAGTCTGAGTCCACCTGAGTATGCCAAAGGTATACATGAGGACAGGCATGACCCAACCGTTATATGCGTGTGTCTTATTCACACCAGACATAAGGCTGTTGAGCACTTTGGTCAAGCGTGCATAAAACAAACGCAAACTGACTGTTTCATACCAGCCTCATCGATACCGATGTTCTGTGACACACCCAGGTATCGGTATGTTTCAGCCTCGGAAAGGGTCTTTAAACTGATGGGCATAGATAAGTCTACGTCTTCAGAGTTAGCAACCCTTCCCCTTTCAACATGGAGGACAGCACACTTATTCGTCCCCAGTTCGATTCCAATAGAATTGCTAAATTCACAAGTGATGTTTAGCAATTCCACAAGATGGGAGTGACTGGAGGCAAATAACTTGAGGTCATCAATAGAAAAAAGGTGGGTCAATTTTGCACCTCCTTTCCGAAGCTGAAAACCCCTCCCGGAACCCTCCAGTAAAGTACTGAGAGGGTTCAAAGAGAGGCAAAACCAGATTGGACTCAGACAATCGCCCTGGAAGATACCCTTTCTTATCCTTATGTGGCTTTTCGCAGCCTTCATCCGCTCCCCCAGATGACAAAGGATCGTACTCCACTGCCCCGTTCACTGCTCGAGGAAGTCTCTAACTGTACAGTCAATCTTGTACAGCTCGAGGACCCTCCTCAGCCATGTATGGGGCACCGAGTCGAATGCCTTTCTGTAGTCTATCAGCGGAGAAGTTCGCGTTTCACCACTTTGCCAATGACCGCGTCAATGAGAAATGGTTCGTTGGTTCCACGAACACCGCCCCCGACATCCATTTTGAGCGCGCGACATCACCTGATTTGAGTCCAGGTGATAAGTGATTCTCGCGCTCGAAATGGATGTTAGTGTCTTGTATATGGTCGGTAGACACATGATAGAGCGGTATTTGCATAGGTCTGTGGTATCCTGATCTTTAGGAACCAAATGAGTGATCCCAGCAGTGAAGAGGCTCGGGAGCGACTTCTGGTTGAGAGCCTCTTGGAACTGTCGGGTGAGCACAGTGTGACACACCACAAACCCCTTCACATCAGTAATGATGCAGCCCGTCGAGTCCCGGACTTTTCCAATTCGGGGCCCTACGGACCGCCTCAGCTACGTCATCCGGCGTTATACTGACGGGGTTCGTGGGCGTTATACTCGCACACTGACTCGCTACAATTTCCGTCCAAGAGCCCTCGCTGTGGTTTACGGACTTTGACCACAAGCCGCGCCAGAATGTTACAGTGTCGGTCTGATTCGGTGCTGGGCCCGTTCCACTTGCCATTGATCGCTCCAATAGTTCATAGCACCTCTTCTGATCACTCTGGAAGAGACAATTCTGGTTGAACCGAGTCGACCTCTCGGTATATCGCCGAATCCGCTTTCCCCAAGCAGCGATTCTCTGCTTCAGATCATCTATGAGCTCCGTCAGTTTTTGCATCATATCCAGCTGGGACAAACTGACATTTGTCCCAGCAAACGCCATCCTGACAGTGCGCTTAATTCTTGGGCTGTTATTGCCTGATCTGAAGCATATCAGTCTGCCGATGAGAGCTCTAGCCTTTGCGATACGCTCCTCAATTCTTCTACTCCATGCTGGGATAGCGCTACTTTGGCCATTAGCGCTGTCCAGCCGTGGAAACATTGGCACCTATGATACGGCAGACTGCCAGCGCGACGCCAAAAAGAATTGAGTCCGTATCGCAAAGGTCCCGACTGGCTTCCAAATATGTCCCCAGCATTGGGTTCAGAGCACTCACGACAGCCTGATTCCGCTTGCTTAGGCATTTGCGGGGAAGTCGCGGTCGATTTTCGAGAGGCGTACTGCGCATTTCCACAATCGCCTCTTCTACTATTTCTAATTCCTGGGCGAATGTTCCATCATCATTTGAATCAGCCACCACTGGGTAATTCACGGCGGTATCCACGTGTGCGGGTTGTTCTGCAACTTGTGGCACCGCATCCTCAGCCGTAGCATTTTCATTTGATGAGGGAACAGTCTCACGTCGTAGCCGTTCGAGTTCGGTGACATCAAATGTATTTGAGCACAAGATATACCGAACTCGGTCTCCCAGGTTTTGCTCGGTGACGGTTACAGATGGCTCTAGCTCAGCAAAAAATCGATGCATCCTTGCCAGATACGCAAAACCTCCAATTTCTCCCTCTTTTGCCCTAAAATACGCCCGCAATGCGTTGCTGTTTATCTGGGTTGTTCAACGCATGCGGCGTATTCCACCAGTGGCGGGTGCCGATTGTTGGCCCGCGAAGACCCTGCCGTCACCAAGCCTGCTGGCGGGGATGATGGATGCGAGGGGCTACTAGGTGGTCGAGCAGCACCTCGCGCTCGGCTGGTGGTTCGCGTGCTGTCACGTCCAGCGCCAGCTCCAGATGCGCCCCGGAAACCCCCAGGCAGCGACCCTTTGCGCGTTCTATCGTATTCCATCATCCATTTTAATGGGCGTCATTTAACGGGAGACGCCCAGACCCGGCGCTTTTCATGGTAAGGCCATGTGCACAAGCGGGCCTTTGCACCTTCAACTTATGCTGAGGCACGGCACTAACACCTCTTGGCAAGGTGCTGATTGACTGCGCTCACGTAGTGATTTGGCACGTAATCGTTACGTCAGTGGGCGATGTGGTCGTCACTTCCCTACGCCTACTTATTATTATTATTAATGGCGCTAGATTGTTAGTCAATACATGCAATGTAATCGAGGCAACTATGCTGACCGGTTTTTCTCTAGGAGAATCTGTATTTATTCCTAGAATTTCCCTGACATCATCGAATTACCCCTTCGAATGTACAATTTCCTATCAAAGTCTGCTTCGCCATAATCATAAACAAAACTCAAGATCAAACTCGTAAGGTAGCGGGAGTATACTTGAGAGAAATCTGCTTCTCCCACGGTCAGTTGTATGGGGCATACTCCAGAGTAAGCGTACAGAGTAGCCTGGTGATTCTAGCACACACAGTTTACATAGAAATACTGCGGTAGGTGTAATATTTCGATTTCGTTGTAAAAAAGATAATACATCCGGGTCACTTTCACCAGATAAAATCAGGCCGAGCATCGTGTTCATAAAATATAACAAAATTTAATTTTATTTTCATGTTTATTTGACCTTTAAATCCCTACCTACATTGCAATAAAGATTGATATATTTTGTAAGTATTCAAACATTTTAGCATAATAATTTACATGTTACAACAAAATTAATAACGTAAAAAAACAATTAAAAATCCTATTAGAACCATTTTCTTCTACACGGACGAAGTCGTGGACAAAAGCTACTTTAAAATTTAATAAAGCTTAAAAAAAGTAATAAAATGTAATGTCAAGGGAATAAAGACTTTCTGGAGCGTAATCTCAACAATATCAAAATGAAACACCAACGTTATATCGGAACCAATATTGATAAATAGCATCGTTTGCGGGCAGACTGCACAGAAATGCTAAAGTGCAAGTTTTAGTTTTATTGAAATATTCTCTTTAAAAGTAGAATATTGCTCTGCTACCGAGAATTCATCACTTCGTTTGAATATTTCTAGTAACACACGTTTTAAAGCATTTAATATCTGCTTCATTTTAAGTGCAATGGCGGTGTAAGAATATCCTCTAACCCATACCGTCCTGTGGGTGCTGTAAAAGGCGACAGAGCGAAACCAAGAGGTGGATAGCAGCGTCTCTCTCGTAACCACGCTGCTGCATGCCAAGCATGCCAACTCTGGCAAATATTCCCCTTATGAGTAAGTAATATCTACCCAATATATGGGGAGGCCTATCTACATTAATGGACCTAAATAGGATATAATAGATGAAAAATAATCGTCGTCGTTTTGAAACAAAGAAATATCACCTTTATCAAATTCATAACAGCAAATAATTAGTAACTAAATAGACATATGATCACCGTCATCAGTTTCCTTATATTCTTATATACTTGTATTCCTATCCTTCGTTGCAGGTAAGTTTGCCAAAAACGCTTCGCTAGTCTCGTACCTTTGACGTACTCTCTGGAGTACTCGTACTCTCTCGTACTCCTGCTCTATTTGACACTTAGCAAATAATAGATGTTTAGAAAACATTTTCTGATGGCAATGTAGTCTTCTTGTAAGCTTTTGTAAGCTTCTGTAAGCTTTCCCTTATTCACCTACCTTTAGGACGTCAACATAAACGGGTTGAAATAATGCAGGCTCTTAAACTGTAGTGGCCACACATTCATACTGATCAGTCTCGCAGATTACTTGCCTTCTTCTCGACTCACCGCAGACTACAAGGCAATCTCCTGGCACTTGCACATTCGTTGGCAACGAAGCTGCACTATCGACCTCCGGTCTGAGCAGGGGGGTGATGTGGCGACGCTGTCGTCGCGCCGCAAGCGAAACATACGGAAAGCCTTTTCGGAAGGAGGTAAGTAGTCTACGAGAGTGCCGTGAAGCAGAGGCGAGCAATAAGGCACAGAGCCGTGCCGAAGACTTTATAGTGCAGAGAGTAGCTTGAAGGAACAGGAAGCGTTATTATTGCAGTGCTGCGATGAACCTTGTGAAGCTAGATTGCTTGCAGTATATGAAGACTGCAGACAATATCTGCTCGGGAGCGAATGGGTGGGGTATTTTATGAAGATGATGAAGCTTGAAGTTTTCGAAGGTTGTTGTTTGCGTGTTAAGATCACGTCGGGGTCACCACTGTGGCCGTGAAGGAAAAGGGGAGATCTCCCGCCGGTCAAGGTGTTCTGCCCGGGGATATACTGTTTATGATTCGGAATTTTGATAGCGTGATTTAGGCTTCGGTGTGTTTCGCTTGCGGCGCGACGACAGCGCCGCCACACTGATATGTTTAATTGATACTTAGGCCAACGCGACCACCAAATTATTTTATATTTTTGTTGATTTCAAGAGAAGGAGACCTAAAAGGAATAAAATAATTTCACATTTAGAAGTCGGGCTTTAATTTTTGTATTAATTTATATGTTATATTAAATTTATTCACTATGTCTTAGCACCGACTTCAGAATATAAAATGATTTAATTTATAATTTGTTATTTAAAGTAGTCTCTTACTTTTTAAATTATTTTTATTAAATAATAGGATAAATTATTTATGAAATAAGAAGTTTCGCGAGTAATATCTTCTAAGAGGTTTTGTGTTAAGTCTATTTGCTAATACGTATATGTGATATTAAAAGTCGCAATAGGCATAAAATTTTTGCTATTGTCGCAGAATTTTGCGTAAATGCTTGAAAGGACGCCAAATGTTACATATTATTATTGTAGCGTTAAGTAAAAATTTCTGGCCGGTTATGCAAGTTTTGACATAGGATTGCTCCCTTTTTTAAAACTACTGGATACGGTAAACGTTTTTAACATTATTTTTATTTAACTGCAATGAAAAAACAAACTGACATTCCTTTTGATATTGGTTAAGTGGCTACTTCAGTCCATAGACACATTTAAAACAACTTCAAATAAAAAAATACACATGCGTTGTCACCTGTAAGGACTTGTGGCGGCGCTGTCGGCGCGCCACAAGCGAAATACACCGAAGCCTAAATCACGCTATCAACATTCCAAATCATAAACAGTATATATAGAACATCTCCGAACTATCCATCGGGGTGTTGGCCGCTCCCCGGGCAGAACACCTTGCCCGGCGGGAGATCTCCCCTATTCTTTCACGGCCACAGATACAGTGGAATATAACGCCCACCTAGCCGAACAATTTGGCTCCCGTCACACTGATCATGCGGGTAGATCTGCTTATGACCTTGTCTTGGCATGTGATTTGACATAACTGGTTACTTCACCTAAACGGATCCCCGATAAGATGGAGAATGCGCCTTCGCTGTTGGATCTTCTGCTGACTTTTGGTCTGGACGGAATAAAGGTCTTCGTCGAAGCCCCTCTTGGCTCTTCGGACTATTGTCTTATTCGGAGTACGGGGCCTTTCACAAACCCATCAAGATTGTATTCTGTAGGTTGCCGCCATATTTGGTCAGCCGATTAGATTAATATACGACCTTTTTTGCATCTTACCCATGGAGTAGGGTTTGCGTCTCGCCGAATTATCGATGATGTTGTGACGAATAACGTTGTTGTTGATTCTGTCGCTGATATGGTAATTAAGGGAATTAAACTTTTGAGCCCATCATTTGTGGTGCTTGTTGGAAGCAGAGTCACTCCTAATAATGGCATAACGCCTTAAGCAGGAGTGTTACCGGGCCTGAGCTGACGTCACCGAATGCAAACACCAGGGCTCTTAAAAAAGAAGTATAAATTCGTAGAGTGAGGTGCTTTGTGTATCCCGAGATCATAAAAGACAGCCAACTTTTGACAGACAACAACGACAATTGGTGCAACCGATCCCTAAAAAAGGTGACTGCTCATATCCATCCAACTACTGCCATCACCTAAAACTATAGAAACCATTATAAATTACAAGTTCATGAGGCACCTTGAGGATCACCAGCCAATTAGTGACTGCCAGAATTATTTCCGTTGGTATCGCTCATCTAGTTATCTTTCGGCTAAGTGGGAGGTCTTGCCCGTTAGTTTGGACATTGTGAAGGCCTTCGATCGACCTTGGCAGAATGCGCTCTTTCAAATCTCCCTTTCTATGGCGTTCTTCAGAAATTGTGCAATTGTATCTCCGATTTATATGCAGATCGGAGCGTCATGGTCGTAGTAGACAGTGCATGCTCTGACTGCACGCTTATTTATACTGGTAATCCACAAGGCTGCTTTCAATCACCATTGCTCTTTCTTGTGTATATCAATGAAACCCATAACATTTATTGCTATGCAAACCAAACGTTGGAACGTTTGGGGAGGCCCAAATCCCCCCCCCCCCTTAACATGGTAGCGGAATCAAGTGAAGATCTACCCCAGGAGAGTACCAGCACCCCTGGAGAATTCCTCGCTGAGCAACCACGACCAAGCTACTCCAATCCTGAGCGTGGGTGCTCAGGCTACCCGCGTATTCTGGGGCGGGAGCGAAATTCCGCTCAAGACTACAACTGCTCGGGTCAAACGGAGAAACAAAATCAAGACGAGCCCTGCCACGTTATCCGCGAATTTCTGCAATATCAGGGGGACTTCTAACCTAAACGCCGTCCACTACCATCTCGAGAC